CAGAGGAAGAAGCAAAACCTTTGTCTTGAGAGATGTGAAGAATGAAGGAAGAAGAAAAATCACTCTGAGACCTAGTTCAGACCTTTTACCTGCTAGACAGGTCAGCTTTGCCAAAAGGATGACCTGATTTCTTGGCTGCTGGCATACATAGTGCCCATTTTTTTCTAACTGGGCAAAGCAGTAGCACAGGCTGGGGAGCAGTCATTTCTGTTTGATTCAACCATGATATGCACAACAGCCAAGGGGCTTCTCGCAGGCCCCAGCAGTGAGGCCAGCCGGGAGTGCAGTTTTGTTATTGTAGCCGGAGGCCCACTTCCAATCCAATTACACACAACAGCTGTGCTAGCTCTTCTTTTCCATCCCTTTTGCTTCCTCTGCTATCTAATTCCAGGATGGGTTTTGTCATTATTGGGGGCAGTGAGTCAGGGTGAGTGGCACCTACTCTGAGTGATCAAAGGAATAAGAGCATGAGGTAGAAGCCATACAGAAAGTCATTTACCCCAATGCTCACAGGCAAAAATAGTGATCAAACCATACTATCTCCTTTCCCCTATGGCAGAAACAGTATTCCAACATTGCACGTAGCTTATTCCTAGAAGTACTCACATAGGGAGGGCTACAAACATGGTGGTGTTTGAAAGCATGAAAATAAATATTCAGGTGTTTTCAAAGATGTCTACATGCACAAGAGAATGTGTGCAGGTAGGAAGACCTGAAGGTGAATGCATTTTATGGCTGACCAATAAGAAAATGTGTATCACTGCAAAACAGAGCACCTGATCACATAGGTGCATAAGTTGGGAAAAGAAGTATTAGGCATGGAATAGAATTCTTCAGCTTGGAAAAGATATCTCTGACAATATGGATGATAGAAGTAAAATCCCAAATAATATAGAGCAGGTGAACAGGCAATATTTTTCCCTATTTGTCAGAACACAATTTACAAGCGTAAAAACAAGTCAAAGTACTTTCCACATTTGAATGATTAAACAAAGGGACTTGTCATCACGGGTTACTGTGGAGTTAAACAATGCAAGTGGATTAAGAACAAAGGCTGGACATGTCCAGAGAAAATATGACCATCGATGACTGTACCACATCACAATCTAGATGCAGTATCAGGTCAAAAAGTCCTTAAAACAGTGACATCCAGAAACCACAAAGGTGCATCAGGACAAGACCAATGCTAACATAGTTTCTTAAACTTCTTCCAAAGCATCTGCTTTCATAAAAAGAGGCTTCTGGGCTAGATGAATTTTTGCTCTGACCCCAGTGCCTCACTAATGCCGTATTCTTGCAAATGGATGTGCATGGACCTGAAAAACATTCCCGTTTCAGTGCAAGAAAATCCGATTTTGGGACAGTGCCTATGCAAAGGGCGTGCAAGAATGAAAACAACCGTGGCTCCTCTGAAAAATAACTTAAAGCCTGTAGAAACCAGTTTCAGACACTTGTGTGAATAGCACTGAAGATACGGCGTGGGTGGATTCTTACTCTCGCCTTCTGCAAATAGGAAACTTTAGGTGGGTTGAAACACAATTCACAAATTTTCATGCCCAAAAGCAGAGTTCAGCTTCAAGGAAGCAGAAGCCAGCACACGGGTACTGCTTAAATGACCCTATGACGTGGAGTTAGGGAGACAGACTAAAACAGCAGCTGTGAGATGAAGGAGAGAAAGAAACATTAAAAGATGGAGTTTGAAAGACTGAAGAGCTGGATCAAAAATGTGCTTGTATGCTTGTGCCTTCAAGGATCTCTGTATCCTTATGAAGGAGTTGTTCAGGCAAATGAGAACTAATTTATCCTCAGGGCCCCAGTTAACTAGGTCATTTTTACTGGGTTGTGTCCACTCAGTTACATGCAAACTCTGGTCAGCAGTAAAATCATGACAGTAAAACACCCATAACTTCGTATCTCAGCCTCCTCCCTATCAACATCCGGAGATCTCTCCCACAAAGGGGATAAGCATGGAATTAATAGGAAAAGCACTATTTAAACTTTGATACCCCCCAGGTATCAGTACCTGTCACCATAATACCAAGGACCCATATTTAATTCTTTCTCCTGCATATATTCTTCCATTAAAAAAACCTAAGTGAGACAGGAGCATATCATTTGCTCCTTGATCTACCGGTCTTTTCTCAAGAATGTGTCTGTCAGAAGCTAGATCACTGGCAAAGAGTAGAAGGTGCAAAGAAAGGGGCAGATACTGTGCAGAGGTGACAGAGGCATCCATTCTGGTCTGTGCTGCACACCACTCCCCAGACAAGGCACTTAACCTCTGTAATAAGGCTCTTAACCTCCATAATGTTCAGCCCAAGATCTCTAAGCACATTGTGAAGGTGAGGAAAGGCTGTAGCTATAACCCCCAAAGGAAAACTGAAGTACTAAAAGGAGAAGTTATTTCTCCTCTACTTGACAGAGCGAGTCAGTGACCCAGCTGAGTACAGACAGCAACAGTCCCAACTCCAGGGCCCTGCTATAAATACTTGACTTCGCTGCTTACAACAGGGTGGTGGTATTTTGTGACTGGGGACATAACATCTGCAGGGCAGCTGGGTTAACATCTGACAAACTCCTTGGCCCTGTTGCCAGAGCACCCCTTCTTCACAAGCAGAGACCACACAGCCAGGAAAGCTCATACCATGCATTTCTGTTTACTTCAAACAAGACCAACCTCTTTGCACCTTGCAGCAACTGCACCAAGCAGAGCCCTGTGGTCCCTACTGCTGCCAGCCCCAGCCCATTCACAGCTACCTTCTCTTACTGGGGAATTAGTTCTAACCAGTCTATTCAACAATAAAAAATACTCAGTTAATCAATGCGTTCTCTACAGCCCTTCTGCTGCCTGTGGGTAAATAGTTACCATTAGGCTATAAAATCCCTAATTTGTCTTGCAAACAGTGGACGGTCAAAGTAACCATTTTGACAGGGGCCTGGGGCTCTGTCTTTGCAATGGAGGTACCTGGATGGCCAAAGCCGAAGAGAGCCTTAGCACGGCCAGGCAGAGGGGAAGTGCACACCCAAACCCTCCCGGTGGCCCACGTCACTGCCCAGTCACACAGCAATGCCAGAAAATGCGGCTGGGCAGAGGGATTAAACTGTCTGCAATTAAACAGCTACAGAGCCCAATAATGAGGTGTGGGTAATTGTCAGACTGAAAACATACAGATGAGTGTGAAAGCGCATGGAAAAGAGCATTCACGTGTAACTAGAAATCCACGTGAGAAAGCACACAGCAGTCCTGAGAACAAGAACACATGTGTATGAGCAATGGGGAGAATAAAAAATGCACATCCAAGCATATAAATTAGGAGAACAAGAGGGCAGTGGGGCAGAAGAGCCCATTCAGAGAGCAGAAGGTTGGACTGTTCCAGGGTGCCCACAGTAACAGCAGCATGGTGCTGTCCTGGTTGTGCCACCTCTGCTTGGGCCCTTACTAGTGATGCCATCATCACCCGCACACACTGCACAGCCTTGGGCATGGCCCTGATGTTATTTGCAGCAACACTCTTTTGTGGCATAATGTCATGAGTCCTACTGGTAGAGGACAAGACCTCTTCAAGACCGTGCCTTCCCAGTTCAACCATCCGCCTCTGCCACAGACACCAACAGCTTCAGGACATGGTGGACAGAGTTGAGACCCCGAGCCTTTGATGCATGTCCTGTCAGATCCTGCCAAGATGAGAGGAGATAGGAGTTCCTGGACACCTCAGACTGGGGCAGAGCAGGTACTTGTTCAGTCCCATGGGTCACTGAAAAAATTCAATATTACGGTTGACAGAGCCTTTCTTTCCAAGTCATGCCAGGTGACACTTGCCATTTGGCCACTTCCATCCCCATTGTTGCCAGTTGAGATGTGCACAGAATGCAAAGGACCTCAGCAGAATAAAAAGGGGGTTGACAAGAGAAGCCAAGAGGCTAAATATGCAGGGAAATCACCCGAGCGGCTGGCCCTCACTGCGTCTCTCTCAAGTGTTTCACAAAACATGATTATCCAAGTGTAGAAAAGAAGCATATTGAATGAAGAACTCATTCCAGGACCAGGCTGGGTTTAGCAAAAGTTAAGCAGAACGCTGAGAAGGAAAAGAGCCTCAACTCTCCCATCATCCCACTCCAGCCAGGACAATGCCAGCTGCTTCCCTGGCCTCTCATTTCCATTTCACATAATGATAAACCAGGTGGAGCTGCCTGACCATGAGGTAAAAATTAATTTCTTCAGCTTCAGTGGCAACAGGATGTGGACTGCAGTGTAAGGTGGTTTAGTTTGATTAACCCTTGTACCTGAAGTTGGAGAATTCAGATCCTTCTGGCAATGAGAGAGCAATATGGGGAAGAAGGCTTGGAGTTCTCTGTAGTAAAATACTTCCTTGTGGAAGAACTCAAAATAGACAAGGACATAAAGCACACATTCCTTTTTTCCTTTTAAATTAATCACTTGTGCCCTGTCAGGAATTAAAGTTTTGATGCCTAAATAAGATCACACATTCACATTCAGCCAAAAAGACACTCACTGGTTTTTAAAACCTAAAATGAAACAACAACAATAAACCCCCTTGTTAGTGGAAATAAAACTCAACAGGTTATCAGTGAGACCAGCAAATGGAGTAGACTGCAGCAGGAGCAGGAAAATGACTGAGCTATATTTGCATGCCAGACTAAACCCAGATGTATCAGAAATAAACTGTATATAATGCAATGTTCAATGCCAGGTAATTGGCAATAGCAATACAAGCAACAATTTTTTAATGTAATTTTCCTTCAGAAAACATCCCTTTAACTGACCAGCACAATGGAATCTCTGAAGAGGGAAGTTTGTGACTTTTGCTACCACAAAGCCCATCTTTTAGCAAAGACTTTGCAATCCAGACCCCGTGATGTCCATTATGAAGATTTGTTGTGTACACTCTCAGGAAGCAGGATGAGATTCCTGCCGCTGGTAACTGCCCATCACCACTCCTTAAAGAGCAGCCTTTCAGCTCAGCAAAAGCAACACTTACCTGGAATATGATTGACATCTGTCGAGGTGTTTTCATGGCAAGCAGAAGGGAGAAAAGGAAAAGAGAGAGAGAGAAGAAAGAAAAGCCATTAGAGATGCACACAGCAACTCGGCATCCTTGCATGGAAATCAATTTCATGCAAAACCAGAAGTAATTAGGTTTGTTTGAAGGCCACCCATCTGCAGCCAAGCATCCAGCCATGCAAGGGAGAAGGCACTGGCTCCCTCTCCGCTGTGCATGTAAAAGTGAATCCACCATCATATCTGTCCGGGGAGAGAGTTCCTGGAATCAGATAGAACCAAGCCACATCAGTTCCTGTAAGAATATTGGTTAAAATATTCTACTGTTTTTCACACACAAATGCAAAAGAAAGAAACAAAAACTAACCTGCCTGCAGTAGGTTTCTATTGCACATAAATTCAAGCAAGTTTTCAGAGAAAATAAAATAACCTGCTCCCCTTTTATGAGGGGCCATGTGAATTTATGACCAGATGCTAGACACTCAACAGAGTCCCAAAGTCGAGAAGAGAACCCATTCCTTTTCATTCCTCTTGCCCATCATTCCCAAAACAACATCCTTCATTGCAGACAGCAGCAGGGGTGGGGGAGAAGGAGTGTCAGAGGCTTGCAGGTCCCACATGTTGTCTTTTCATAAGATGCTGAATTCAGACCAAATGGCATTCAGTATTTTTTCTTTTTGTGACATAAGAGCTCTTTTCAGAATCAATCATATAAATCCCAGAATAAATTAGTCTTTTCAAACTGGAGGAGCAAGACTATGTAAATGATAGTATCGATTGCAGAAAAGGCATCTCTTTGAAAGTTGTGTCTGTTTTGGGCAAAGCCCACCAATCCCAGAGAATGTACTTTAAAAATAAAAAAATGCCTCTCATAACTTCATTAGTATCCCAGGTTTAGTCTTGGTCTGAATAGCTAGACTTGTCACAACACCATGAGGGAGGAACCCCTGAAATTTCATGGGATTAGACCAGATTAGTATTTTCCTTCCAAGGCAGCCCTCCAGAGAAAGAAAGTGAACTTGCTTGAGGAAACACTGGGACCAGATCCATAGGTAACATTGTTCTCCAGAGGACTGTACCTTGCCCAGGAGTTGTGCTGCTGCAGGTGCCACCTTTCAAATAAGATTTCAAAGCAATACATTAATGATTTGGACTACTAGAGGTCCCAAACCACTTCTGCCACAAGCCTAGGAGCATGACATGCTGGGTGCTTTGGCTATAAACCAAGGTCTAAGAATGTATTCTCTTTCCCCAAATATCTCCTCCAATTTCTGATAGCATTCCCCCTTCCCGTCCAAACCATCTGTGCTGCTGCAAAACCAGTGCCACTTGCCTTCCCAAGACACTTGTATTTCAGTGGTGCGTGAGTGATTCCTGTGCATGTTGCTTTTTGTTTATCATTTTCTGTTGATTTTTGTTTATCACTTTGTAATGGCTCCAGGATCATTTGAGGAAAAGTCCCTGTGGTACACAACACTTATATCAAGTCATCCTTCCCTAAGGAGGTAATAACCCAAATATAACAATGCACAAAGAAGGGAGGGACTGTTACATCAACTCATTTAATTTCCGTAGCTTCTACTACACGTATATGTCAGATCTGATGAGCGTTATTTGGTGCCTTTCCTCTTTTAACACATAATTGTATCTAAGAACTGGTGTCTTGCCATGTGAGCCTGGAAGGACACTTAGCACTGAACGTTTGCCTGAAAGTAATTCTTTTCAGGTAGGAAAAGAAAACAAGTGTCAGGCATCAATGCATACACTGAAGAGGGAAGGCAAAAGGAGGCGAGAGCAGATGGGGCAGAAGGAAGGGGCAGAGCTGCAACCACTGCTGTGGAATGTGAGCACCATGTCAAAGAACTGACAAGTGCACAGCTAGGACCTGAGCTGAGGTGTTGCTTGGGAAAATCAGTGGCAGTCAGAGAAGACAATCACACATTTCAGAAGAGGAGGAAGAGAGCATCATAAAGTACTGCAAATTTTTCTGCTAATCCAGCAGCTGCCCCCAAGCCTATTCTAAGCAGGTACAAAGCTCTAGATATCCATGCTGTCCTCTCAGCCTCCCTACACACCTGACCAAGGAGAAGGCACGGCTTCAGCCCAGGCTACCTCAGGGGCCTGGGAACAGCAGGCAGCCTCACCAGGGTGCCTGTGCTACAGGAGGAAATCTGTGGGCTGTTTAGGGAATAAAAAGGATCAGCAGATAGAAAGGGCAAAGGAAGAAAGCTAACCAAGGGTGAGCAAGGGATAAACACATTAAGCAAATAAGAGAAGAGGCAGCGGGCTGTAACTGATACACTGCTTGAGATAATACTTATTTAACTGTGCGCGAATTAAACAGGTCATGAAGCTGTTAAAAAAAGGAGAACTATGAAGTATTAAGAGCTACACAGGCATCTTTAAAATGTTTCTCAATGGAAAATAACAGGGGGCAGACAGCATGGGGATTTCCATTTACCCATATTTTTTGTTTCAGTGTCCCTAAGAGCAGGCATCTCCAATCCTGACCGGTTTAACTCTTAGTTTTCTTTTTGCTGTCTCTTTGTTGGAAAGTTTCCACCCAACACAACTTCTATATACACTAGTTGCATCAGAAAAGTCGCTGTTTGCACCTCTCTGACACTTTTGTAGTATTTACCTATGTGGAAGCCCAGGTCATTAATGTTACTTCCCATACTAAATACAAAGGGAGTTTCTTGTATTGCAGACACCCCCCCATGTGGTATCTGCTGGCAAATGCTGATTTTCAAAAGGTGAAAGAACTTGGTTTTTATTTTAAAACACACTTGAGGAAGCACTGGTTTCTTTGCGAAGACAAAAATGGCATATAGGCAGCAAGTCCTCACAAAAAAGACCCTACAATAAATACCACCATGGTGCACAATTGAAACTGTGGTTGCATATATCGACAAAGGGAACCTAAATAAGAAACCTCTGAGGCAGTACCTTATGGCTGGTGGCTCCACAATTAGCAGAAATCTAATGCCTCAAGAAAAGTAGAAGATAGAGATAGCAGACGGGCAGAGTGACCAGGTTTCGGGCGCTGAGTTCACTCTTCTTCAGCCCGTCATCTGAGACATTCTCTCAAATTCTCTTCAAGTTTTCCAGGTTTCTTTTTAAAAGGACTGGTTAAAATGTACCCCCACTTTCTTCCTCTTCCATCTGCACTACCTTCCTCCCCCCACAGGGACCTCCCACCTGCCACAGGTACAGCGTTCTCCAATTAAACGAGGAGCACGCAGAACCCATGGCTAACAAAAAGCCCAGTGACCACGAGACTTACTACCATGCAGATAGAGGTTTCTCCACTTTCTCCAGCTCAGAGCACTTCAAACACAGAGAGGTCTGCCTCCTATCCAAAGAAAAGGCAGAGTTTGCTTTATCCTATACACAAGAGTCCATTTATTGCGCCTTTGTAAAGGGCTGAGCCGCAAGCCGGTGCTGTTTGCTTTTGTTCTTTGATGCTAATAGCTGGGTTGAAAGAGGGATCAGCAGGGCTGCTGCCTTTGTCTGATGCAGACCCAGCCATCTGGGTGGGGTGGAAGGAGAAGGAGGAGGATGAAGGGGAGCAGGAGGAACAAAGCAAACATTATTATAGCTCAGATCAGTCCCATGCCTGTAGATGAAACATCTGAGATATTTTTAATTCTAAGAATTTTACAAAATTGAGCAATAAGGAAAGGTGGTTTAATAATGTACCTCTGTCTCCACCTGGAAGATAAGGACAGCACAGACTTTCTATGCACACCCGCCCTACCGGTACACATCACCTAGACCTGAAGAAACCTGCTCTCATGCCTACCTCCATGGTCCATTCAATCTTGTCTTCCCCTTTGATGGGTTGTGGACACCAGCTTGGTGTTGGGTTGTCTTCTGCCAGCTAAGCTGAGAGCCGCTGACTGAATTCACACACCACAAACCAGCTGTCAGGCTAAGTGGAAAAAAGCACCTCAAAGAGAACACCACTGTCTTGTCCTACGAGTCCCTCAAGCTCTCCAGCATCCCCCTCCAGAGCTCTCTGCTTACCCTCTCCCTAAACACCAGTGTGTGGAGATGACTGGGGAGCAGGCAGAAACTGGGGAGAGCAAGACAGCAAAAGTTATAACAGAGCCACCTTTTTGTCATAGGAGACCCACTCCCAAATAAGAGGAGATTCTGCCTTTAAGCAGGAAAATGACCTCATTCAGTTACCAACACCTAAAAAAGCTTTTCTAAAGCAGATTTGGCTCTTGTGCTGCAAACACAGAAAATGGATATAGGTAAAATTTCACTGGCAGAAGCCTGACTGGTTGGGAACTCTCAATCACCAACTTTATCTTTCTCATATATATGAGAACAGTTCAGAGACCACAGATTGGTGCATTTATGAGAGCCTGTGGAATTATTCAAAAGAGATGTGATGAGCCAGCCTGAACGCCTGTGACGTGGTAGTAAGAGATGCTGGTGACTCAGAACCAGGTGATTTCCTCTTAATTGAGCTCTGATGCAACATTTTAACAATAGGATGAAAAGTTGCATTTTGGCTGAGCTGGAAATCCCTCAAATTGCCATAAACAAAGTCTTCATTAATTTCATACTTCATCAACCAACATGCTAATTCCAGATGTTGATTTGGCGAGTGCTCTCATCCCATCCTAACCTGGTCTGTTAAGGCAAAGGTATGGTCATACTACACCTCCCGCACCAAGCTGTTGGGGACCAGTGTTGTTGGTGCAAAACTGTACAGATTCCTTGTCTTTCTCTTCAGGACACAGTGGTTCAAAGCCACCTCGGAGGGTTACAGAGATATACAAAGAAATGGCATTCACCTTGCATAGTCAGCTTCTAATAACAATTTGCTTGGGTAAAGATGGGCTCTGTAACAAGATAAATTCCAAGCATCAGCACAACATCCAAGTAGCGCCCATGCTCACATAGAAGATAGGCACCTTGAAAATTGTTGTATTTATGGTTAACTAGGTTAAAATCTTGGTTCCATTAAATTCATAAAAGACT